TTTTTAAAATATTAAGAGGATAAATATATACTATATATCTATCTATATTTATATTTATCCACTTATCTACTTTTTTTATAAAATTTTTTATATTAAAATAGTGGTAAATAATATAATTTTTTCAAAATATTAAGAGGATAAATATATACTATATATCTATCTATATTTATATTTATCCACTTATCTATGAATCAACCAATTAATCAATTAATGAATCAATCAATATACAATATAAAATGTTACCTCGAGCATTAATTAAACATTAATTTTATTATTTTATTTTAATTATAAAAAAATAAATTTAAAAAAAGAATATATATTATTTTTACATAAAAAATAATAAATGTGATTAATAATTAAGTTTAATTTTTTTTTATTTTCTTCAATTTCTTATCTTCTTCTTAATTATTTTATCATTATTATTTTTAATTACATATAATGTATTAAATTAAAGGAAGAGGAATAGAAACTAGTTTTTATTAAGATAAGAATAAATTATAAGATTATAATATATAATAATTATTTGCATAATACTAAATATTTTAAATGACTCAAATTTATTTTTACCATTTCAAAGTTATATAACTTTTCTTTTCACCTTTTTTTTTAATATAAAAAATCTTATATTAATGAATTAAAAGAAGATGGATGTACAAGAGCATGGAATGGAAAGTAAAAGGGTGTGCATATACAAAAATTGAATTACGATTCATTTAAGTAACAAAAAATATAACTTCAAAGAAAATCATTATATTATAGTTGATAATAGAAGATTAAGAGACACGTAATTAATAATATAATATAATATATAAATAGCATGTCACGCCCCAGAACCCAAATCCGGGGCGTAACAAACGCCGTGCACTCGTGAGAGGGTTTCACAAATGCACAAGACTCGAAACTTATCCAATTCACATCTAACAATCCAATAACTTAAATCAAATATTTCAAAATAATTCTATGTCCAACATGACTTAGGCTCAAAATCTCAAGGTCAAATCTCTTGTAAACTAACAATCCATTAAATGAATTTATAAAATCTCCAATTAAAATCTTGCTTACAAGATCATGATTTATATCTAAAATCCATATTCAATTTACAAAATGGCTAGCTTTCTAACTCGTCACTCTTCTTGTTTTTTCCCGTCCTTAACTTCACTTCTTGAAATGGTGGACAAGGAAAAACTATGAGATAACTCAGTAAGTAAAATATGGAGTGCCCCTTATTAAACTTATAGCATGCCAACAAGTGTAATCATGAAAAACGAATACCAAACAGGAACGAAATAGACGTCTCCTCTATAGGTAACGACCAGTGTTATCAACCTCCCACTGGCAGGCTACAATATTTGTTGGTGTATAACCCCCACTAGCAGGGTCACTCGAACGAACCGGTTCTATTAATAACATGTCAACATGTGCTAGTGTTTATAACCTCCCCCACTAGCAAGGTCACTAATAACATGACCACATCAGAGACAAAACAAGTAGAATTTGACAGAAAATCATACTTTACAAATAATTTCCAGATCATCAGGGCAGTTAAATAAACTCCAAGCAGGCATACTCAAATCAATAAAAAGAATAATAATCTTATTTCAAATCTATCATGGTCATTTTTGTATAAAACGGGTTTAGTCCTGCCACCACTTCAAAAATAAGTTAAAATATACTTTTAAAATCAAAGGGCGTTACCATAATTTACTTACCTCACTCGCATAAAACCGAAGACTCGATCTCAATGCTAAACTGACAGAGCGATCAGGAACCTAATCAAAATATCCAAGAATTAATTACCGTACTACGGATTCAAAAACAAAATCACCATGACTACACCTAATCACGATGCTATTTCTATCAATCTCCACATGACCAGACATCTCTAAATTTGTTTTTATATTACAAACTAATCATTTAAATCCCCATTAATTGTTGGCCATCAGTTCGTGAACAGTGACCGTGAACAGTATCCGCGAACAGTACTGCAACTTCCAAAATTGGCAAAACAATGGCTAATTCACGGGATTTTTCTCCAAAATCACAACAGCAACTAATTAACTAATTTTCTACATGAATTACACTAAATCATGGTCTAATTACTGTCAAATCTCTCCCCTATTCCCAGCAGAAATTCGGATACACAGGGCAGCAAATAAATGGACAAAATTTAGCAACTAATTGATGAAATTTCGAGCTTGGAGGAGCTGTCACATACCATAAATCCAGAAGCAAAACCGGAGCTGTTGCTTGGGGGAAGCCGGCGGGAATTGCAGAAAATTTAGGGGAAACTACCGAAAATTGGAGAAACCAAGAGAAATCAGTGTTAACCCAAGCCAATTCAAAGCTAAAAAGATAAAATTCATGGCTGATTTTTACCAGGAAAAACCGAGACTCACACCCAGCAGCAACCGGCGGCAGAGGGGAGGAAAAGCAGAGCAGATCTGGAAATTCTGGGTTGAGAGAGAGAGTTCTAAGCCCCAAATCTTGTGATTGAACAAGAAAGAAGGAGGAATTTCAAGCTTTCTACCGGTTTTTTCCCAAGAGAGGTGCTGTCGGGCTTGGGGGCTTCGCCGGCTGCAGGGGAGAAGAAGAAGAGTAGAAGCACGTAAATGGCTGAGGGGAAAAAGAAGAAATATTAGCTGGATCCTTATCCAAATTCTTTCCCCTTTTAAGCCCCTTGAATTTAACACAATTTTCCATTAGGTTCACTAATAATAATATTTCCTCACAAGTTAGTCCTTAACTCACACTTATTTATTCTAGAAATTTTTGGGGTATTACATGGCAATTGTTGTATTATTTTAATATTAATTTCAAAAATAATGATAAAAAAAGTAAAACAAATTATTAATAATTTAAATATAGTTTATCTCTATATTAATGTAGGAAGTGATATGCAAAAAATTCAATTTATTATTATTTAATATTATTATTACTTAATTCAAAAATAAAAATACAAGTGAGTATGAAAGACAAAAAGTTTGTATGAATAAAATTTTGTTAATGAAAAATGTAATTTATAATTTTTAATTACAATTATTATATCATGGTTTAGTGAAAATAAACAATCTCAATTGTAATTATTATATCATAGTTGGTTGTTGAAAATGAAAAGACAACATGATACAAATTTGTACCCAGTTAAGATCTACGAGCGAGTGGATGTATTGGCAAAGGACTCTTTTAGTTTAACTAGAGGTCTTGCTTTCAAGTATT